ATGAATTAAATAAAAAAAAAATAAATAAAATAATAACAAAAATTAAAAAGTTTATAAAAAATATTAAAAAATTGAATTTGTAAATAGTTAGAGTTAATTTACATTGCAACATAGCAAGATGTTGCAAGGCTGGCGGCAATGTTTACACTTAAACTTATGTATTTTAATGTATGCCCCGTTTTGAATTTGTAACGGACTATCGTGTGCAACCTTGTGATATTCATCACAAAGTCGTACTGCCATTTTATGAGTCACATTTGTTTAAGTGCCACCTTGCAACACCACCGTTGGCGTTGTTTGCTATTCTTATTATTGTTTCACTTGAATTACGTCCAACAACACAGAGATCACTCAGCAATAAAAAAGGTAAAAATATTGTTCACGACAATATTACACTCAAATAAATATCTCCAATTATTCTATTGGACGATTACTAAAGTAAAACTGTGTGTGTTTTATTTAACTTCTTTTTGGTGGTAATTTGCTTTTTCCCCCTTTGCTCCCGCAAACATCAGATGTTAAAAGAGTTGAAGATTAAAATTTTGTCTTCTATTATGTTTAACTACTCAAAACTGATTTTTATAAATTATTCGGTATTTAGACATTTTAAATTCTAAAGTGCTTTCCTGTATGATCTTTACAATTACGAAGTAGATTCTTGTAAAAAATGTATAACTGTTATATAGTTATAGGTCTTTTAAAAACGACATGGCCATTATTATTATTTTTGTTTTGTTTTGAAAACCACAGTGACACAATGCAAAATTTTGGCTGAATAAATTTACATAGCTCGATGAAATTTTATACCGAGATAGGTTGCAATATAGATTAAGATTATTCAAAATAGTTTTCTTATTTAGTTATAGGATTTTTTATTATTTGAAGTTATTTACAACAGATGCCGAATATTGGTACATGCCGGAATTAGGAGCACTTAACCTATATCTCGCTTATGACGACCAAATTGGCCTGTCCCCTTACTATCGTTATAAGCGATTTAGAATGTGTACGTCAGATTGGGATTTTTCATGTTAAGTGTATGTTTCTTTTGAGTTCTTATTAAATATACTACTTACCTTAAAAAGCTGTACACCAATTACTGCAAACATGAATTGCAAAAGGCAAGTTACAAGGACAATATTTCCAATGGTCTTAACCGCAAAATGACACACTGAACAACATGCTGTGGAATATAAATTTGTCATTATTAATAATGTAAATTATATATAATTGGCGAAGTGCCCGCAATGGATGCAAAACAAAAAATTAATGCCTTATATGGATCTCGTGAATTCTGTATAATTTGTTGTACTATAATTCCGAATTCCATCTCTATTCAGATATGAGTTTTAAATCTCCAACCGTTCACTCAATCTAAATTGTACTAAACTTAGTGCCATTTAGAACACACAAAACTACCTCCATGTCTCAATCACACACTTAACCTACTATTTAATACCATTTAGTGCTTCTCTTAGTAATAAGTACTATTCTTATACTACCTTAATTCTGTAATTTTCATTCCAAATTGAAGTTTTCCATCTCTCTCCGTTCACTCAAATCTAAATCGTACCAAATTTAGTACCTTACGAATATTCAAAACTACCGACATATCTAAATCCTACACTCCATCAGTAATTTTAATTCATAAGTAATTGTTTACACTTAAACATAAGTATTTTAATTTATGCTCCGTTTTGAATTTTTAACGGACTATCGTGTACAACCTTGTGATATTCATCACAAAGTCGTACTGTCATTTTATGAGTGACATTTGATTTAAGCGCCACTTTGCAACACCACCGCTTGCGTTGTTTGCTTTTCTTCTTCTTGTTTTCTCTTGGATTACATCCAACAACGAGAGCTCTCAGCAATAAAAAAGGTAATAACATTGTTTACGACAATATTCCATATAAATAAAAATCTCCAATAATTCTATTGGACGTATTACTAATACCAACTGTGTGTGTTTTATTTAATTTCTTTTTTGGTGGTACTTATTCTTTTTCCCCCCTTTGCTCCCGCAAACATTGGTCCTTCGAGCCGGATAAGTGTCGCTACCACTAATAAGGATTTCTGCTTCTTTCTTTCAAAGGTTTGGCTACGTCAAAACGCAGAAAATAACCACACATTTCCTCAACCTAAGCAACATCAATTGCAAACAACAGGTACGTAGAGTGCATTTTAGTGAGCAAGTGTTCAATTTGTTAAAAGAAAACAAAAAAAAAATATATCGCTTAACCTACGTTCGTTCGAACAGTGCCGCGCAGTGTTGTTAGTGCTTTATATGCCTATTTCTCTATTTTTCGTTACGCGAAAATAAAATAAAAATACCAACAAAGTGCATCAACCAGCAGTGCAGTGATCCGTGTTCTTATTATTCGCAAAACTAATACTAGTTTTGTTATTGCAATTTCCGAAAAAAAAATAATAAGAAAGAAAAGAAAATAAGAAAAAATACAATAACAATTCAACGGCTATTTGTCTAACGTTTAGTGGTCATAAAAAATAACAACAAACACACATCACTGCAGTGCCTTGTTAATGCTTAACCATTGGTTTGCGTTGGTAGGCATATACACACAACACGCGCTATATTAAGGGGACTCACGAATCGTGAAAACTTACAGCCTGTTCCACGATCTCGAAAGAAAATTTGTGCGAACGAAGGCTACTCACTCACTTTCGCATAAGAATGCGTTCCACTAACTTTCGTTCTTTCTTTCGCATAGCCTTACGTGATTCAGTGTTGCAAAATATTTTTTGGCAAAATTAATCGCGAAATAAGGCAAAAAAAGCGCCAAATGTCTAATTTAAACGCGAAAAAGCAGCAGTGGCTCTGTCTCAACTGACAGTTCAGTTGTAAACAAACAAATTGTAAATAAACAAACAAAATAAAATTTCTAGTGATTGTGTTCAGATTATTTGTGTTCTTAAAAAAGAAAAAAATGAATATTTCTGTGGCCCTGTTTTTTATGGATGATGAGGAGGAGGTACAAAATGTGCCACGGAGGCATTTAAGAGATGCTTCGAATTTATTTGAAGTACCTAACAACCAGTAAGTATGATTGTATTTTTACATTTTTGAAATAATAAAAAATGATTTTTTCTAGGTTTGTGGCCAATTTTCGTGTGTCGAAGGAAGTTTTTCGGGCTCTTTTGGATATGATGGAAGAGAAGTGGGTGGCCGGTTGCAGAACTACCCAAATCCGCCCCGATTTAAAACTTGGCACATTCTTGCGGTTTTTGGCAACAGGAAGCTACCAACAGAATCTAGAGAACGAAGCCTTGACTTCAACAGCGAAGTCGACAGTGAGCAGAACCATTGCGGAATGTCTGCAGATTTTTGAGGACCACATTTGCGGCCAATGGATAAAAAAGCCGACACTTACAGAGGAACGCAACACAATGGAGGCTTTCTATGAAAGAACAATGTTCCCTGGAATTGTTGGATGCGTTGATGGCACGCATATCCGCATCAAGTCACCAGGGGACGAATTGAAAGCCCTTTACTATAATAGAAAGGGTTATTATAGTATAAATGCAATGGTGGTAAGTAAATACATTTATCGTAAAGCGATTTTAAAATTATTGTGTTTTTTCGAATTAGATATGTGACCATAAAATGCGTATAACATTTGTCGACGCTAGACATCCCGGAAGCAACCATGATGCATTTGTATGGGAAAGGAGTGATCCAGACAAGTGTATGCAAAGGGAGTTTGACAATGGAAAACGAAACTTTTGGATTCTCGGTGAGTAATTTGTATACATCTTATATCATAATACATCAATTACATTTGTGTTTTCTTTTTTATAGGGGATGGAGGATACAAATTGAAGCCCTTTCTTATGACGCCTTACCGCAGCCCTAGAGATGTCGCCGAGAAAAAATTCAATAAGAGACATGCTAGTGCGCGTAACGTCATTGAAAGGTGCTTTGGGGTCCTAAAAAACAGATTCCGATGTATCATCGGATCTCGGGGCCTTCATTATGACGCTGCAAAGGTAGTGCAAATTATAAATGCATGTTGTGCGCTGCACAACATGTGCATACACTACCGATCTGAAGAGCCGCCAGGTGATGTTATTGATGATGATCTGGAAGACGAAGTGGATGACAATAATGATCTTGAAAGCAGAGCTGACGCAATAAGGAGAAAAATTGCAATAAATTTGTAAAATTAAAAGAATTTTTTATTAAAATAAAATAAATTAAATTAAAAACTAAAAAATTAGTTTAAATTATTATAAAAGGACTATAGTTAATTGTTTTGTGAATTGTTTTGCAAAAAAGTTGATAGAATTGCTTCTATAGACTTAAGCATTTTTGTTTGGGCCTCGGCACAATCTGCCATTCTCTCTGCAGCGTCAGCCATCCTTTTGCTTGCATCTGCTTGCTCCTTGGCTATTGTATTTGCCTGCTCGACCAGCCGCAATTGCCGACGGATAAGAGGTTTTTGCTCTCCGACGTTGGAACGTTTTTTTGCTGATGATGTGGATGGAAAATTATGTTGTGATGTGCATTTGAATGGGGGTGATTTCTGCACGGTTTGATGTTCCATGTGTTGACGAGGGGACGTTGTTTGTTTACGTTGGTGTTGCTGTTGGGTCTGTGTTTGTTGTGTGTGTGCTGACTGTGTCTGAGTTTGTTGTGTGTGTGCTGACTGTGCCTGTTGTTTTGCATATTGTTGAGTTGTGATGGTACAGGTTTTTACGTTTATTTGTTGTTGTTGGGTATGTGATTCTGGGGAACTGAACTGCCTGGTAGGTGTTACCACTGCTACGGCCTTGGATGGTCTTGATGGGGTGGTATCCAATGCCTCGAAGCAGTAATCTATTTCGTCCGCGTAGCCAAAAGTTTTACCACTTGGTGCTGCGGACTTCGACAAGAAGAGTGTCCGGTCAATTGCTGTTTCCAGCTCCGTTAGGCACTCAAACCGGTATAAACCACCCCCTGTACCTTGCAGCCCTTTTTTATTTTCCGCAATTTTCTTTTTGGTGCGGGACTTTAGATCGGCCCACGTCAGTAAATAGTAATGCCGGTCAGACAAATAGATCGTAAGCCGAGTTTTCTGACTTACCTTTTTCCACTCTGCAATTGTGCGGGAAGGAGGACCCATGGTATTTAATTTAAAAACTAACTTCTTCCAGTGGTCCTCCAGGGATTGCCTGCTGCTTCCAAAAATTGGCACTCCTCTGGCAAACTCGGGATTCTCCTCCATATACTCAACTAGTGCCCGCAGCTGTGTAGTTGATGATTTTTTCGTGCTGGAATTGAGAAAATAAAAAAATTATTTATTGTTCCCATAATAAATTGGATTTATTATTTTTACTTACATTTTTGTTTCCATTTTCAATTAAGCAATGTTTATGTTTTAAAACAGATTTTCCTTAATTGTTATCGTACGACAGCAAACACACAAGTGACTGATTTTGACATTTGTGTTCGCATGCGTACGAAAGAAAAAAGATAGTGGAACGCAAAATTACACTGAAACGCTTACGTTTTCGTTCGCATTGATTTTCGTGCAAATTTTCGTTCTGATGGATTTTAGTGGAACGGAAATCAGCTGTTTGTCGTGTAAAAGTTGTGCGAACGTGTTCTTTCGATATCGTGGAACAGGCCGTTAAATTATTATTTTTGAAAAATATTTTTTTTTTAAAAAAAATAAATTTTAATTTTTTTGGAGATTCCGGTGCGTGTCGCTATTAAATAATTTTCGTACACCCTACAATCGGTATTATCGATTATTTTTATTAAATTTATCGATTTTTTTATATTACGTTTAAAATATTTTTCCTGTGTTTTTTTCTTAAAATTTTAAACTTATTTCGCAATTTTTTGTTAACTTGTTGCCGCTACGTGTGCATTTTACAGTCCATGCACCCTACATTCGGCATTTTTAACTAAAATTGCTATTTTTGAGGAAAATTTGAATTTTTTGATAATTTGTCCTAAATTTGTATATTCTTCCATAATATTTTTCTAAAATTTATAAAAATTTGTGTACACTGAGAAAAATTGTCGTTGAATTTTACATTAAATTTCTTAAAAGTCCATTAAATTTTCGTGTTTTCAGCACTTTTTATACATTTTGCTGCTAATTCTGAAGAATTAAGTTATTCTTATCGTTACAAATTTGAGTTTTTGAAATATATCTCCGATATATTTGCACAAATTGGTGCTTTTGCCTTAATTACACACACATATAATCTTTTTGAGTAACATTTGGTAATTTTTCTGTTTGTTTTGCTAATTTTATTAATCGGATAATATGTCGCTTACTCCTCTTGACTTTTTCATCCGAGCAACTGACGCTCTAGTCAAGTTCTCTGCCAAATTTTCTGACCTACGGGATGAAGACCTTGATATCTATTCGCTGGAGATTCAATGAAATGAAGCAAAAGAACTTTGGAGTAAGGTGAAAAATTTATCTGATAAGTGTTCAAATTATTTGCAAACCTCAAAGGACGCGTGTCCAGACGACTTCACTTCAGTTGAAACTAGGTATAATGTTGCTTATAACGATTTTCTGCAGGTGTTATCCGCAATTCATAAAAAGATAGATGAAATTAAAAATAGGTCGGAAGCTATGGTTAATCAGCCACCAGCAGGTGATGCCACTAAATCCATTAGTCCTGGGGACTTGCAGGGCTCTTCACATAATGATAACTTGACTCATAGTCTTAATTGCCTCCATGTGACATAGACGTGTTCAATGGTGACTTTCTTTCTTGGCCCACATTTAGGGATTTCTTCTCAGCTGTCTACATTAATAATGCTCGTTTAAGCGAAATTGAAAAATTGTGCCACCTTCATAAGAAAACTAGTGGCGAAGCTCGAGATATAGTCTCTAAATTTCCATTGATGCATAAAAGTTTCAATTTAGCTTGGAATGCATTGAAAGAAGCTTATGATAATGTACGTATTTTGGTAAACAATCAACTAAAAGTTCTTTTCGATCTTCCAGTTCTTGAAAATGAGTCAAGTTCAGGTTTAAAAAAAATGCAGCGTGGAATTAAAACTTAAAAGTTTTGTTTCTGCTATGGCTATTTATGACGTTCCCACTGACGGTTGGGATCCCATATTAGTATTTCTGTGTCTGCAAAGATTACCCAAACATACCGTTACACTGTGGGAACAAGGCGTCAAAAATAAATCAGCGCTGTCATTTTGGAATGATCTGGACAACTTTCTTACGGAAAGAGTTCAGACTTTAACATGCCTTAGAGATATCAAAGGTATAGGTGATTCCAAGAAAGTAGATAGTAAAAAAGTGCGGACACATTTTACGAACGCTTCCAGTTCTCGTTCCACCTGTTCTACAACTTCTAATCGGTCATCTCCTGAAAAATCTTGTGTGCTTTGCCCTTCGCAATCTCATCATTTAAGATCATGTCCTGAGTTTAGAAATCGTTCTCTTTCAGATCGATTCTCTCTTGTTAAGCGTCATCATTGTTGCATTAATTGTCTCTCCAGAGGTCATGACGTAAAAAATTGTAGCAGCACTCATAGTTGTGCTAAGTGTAATAGAAGACATCACACCTTGCTACATCGGGAAGCTTTTCCAGTTACTAGTACTGCTAGTAATATTCCGCCATCCTCTCATGGTCCATCAGGTTCTGCTCCAGCTCCTCGTCTACCAGAAACTGCCAATTTTAACCCGAATCTTCCTTCTACGTCTTCTGGCCAACAATCTAGTTCTGTGAATAGACAGGTGTTTCATACGTCACAAAATAGGACGGTTCTATTGGGCACAGCTATGGTGAATATTGTTCATCAGGGTAGTACCTATCCAGCTCGTGCATTGATTGATCCGGCATCTGAAGCATCGTTTATTACTAATAGATTACAACAGCGTTTGGGCCTTTCTACAACTTCCACTCAAGCCACTATTTCTGGTGTTAATCAAACTGTTTCAACATTGTCTAAGAAATTGTGTTCGTTTAGTATTGCATCATGTTTAGATTCTTCACAATTCATGGAAATTACAGCATTGGTAGTTCCTACCATTTCTGGAAATCTTCCATCATTTATGGTTAGTCGTGAATTATCATCTAAATTGCCAAATCTACGTTTGGCTGACTCTCAATTATTTGACTGTCGACCAGTTGATATGTTATTAGGTGCTGATATTTATCCTAAAATTCTCTTACAGGGAATGCAATCTAATATTTTGGGTTCTTTAATTGCGCAAAATACTGTGTTTGGCTGGATCATTACTGGTCCCATTTCTGCTAGCAACATCAGAGTATTTTCTACTAACGTTGCATATTCTGAAGAAGATAATATAAATAAGACACTTCTTCGATTTTGGGAACTAGAAGAGGTTCCAAAGCGCTCAATCTTGTCTCCTGCTGACAAATATTGTGAGGAAAATTATAAAAAAACTACTAGAAGAGACTCCAATGGCAGATATATTGTCACTCTACCAATCAAACCAGAATTCTTTGGCCAACCTAACCTTGGTCATTTTAGACAAATTGTCTACAACAATTCATTCGTAATGAGGCTTCTCTTCTCAAAAAACCAAATATTAAGCAAGTTTATGATGGTGTGGTGAAGGAATATTTAGAATTAGAGCATATGAAATCAGTACCTGCTCCTTCTGCAAACTCTACGGTTTGCTATTTGCCACACCATCCAGTAATAAATCCAGAGAAACAAACTACCAAATTAAGGGTGGTTTTTAATGCCTCCAATAAAACTTCAAATGGTAATAGCTTGAATGATGTGCTCTATGTCGGTCCGACTCTTCAGTTAGATTTAGTTCTACTCATTCTGAGATGGAGAGTATTCAAATATGTTTTCAATTGCGATATTACGCAAATGTATCGCCAAATTCTAGTAGATTCAGCTCACACACCTCTTCAGCGTATTCTGTTCCGGGATTCTCCCGACAAACCAATTCAAGATTTTGAGCTGAAGACGGTGACTTTTGGTGTCAACTGTGCGCCATATCTGGCTATCCGTACTTTGTTGCAGTTAGCAGATGACACCGAAGACAAATTTCCTCTTGCAGCACATATCCTGCGTAAATGCATGTACGTTGACGACGTACTAACTGGGTACCACAATTTAGAGACAGCGCATCTTTCTAGAGATCAATTAATACGTGTCCTATCTTCAGCTAAATTTGAGTTGCGGAAATGGACTTCTAATGATCGTTCTATACTAGAATGTCTTCCAGCTGAACACCTAATCGACACTAAACTTCTCGATTTTGTTGAAGCCAGCAGTTCAAAGCCTCTCGGCATTCGTTGGAATGCTCAATTAGATGTATTTTATTTCAATGTAAAACCACTTATTAAAAAATCTACCTACACTAAACGGGAAGTGCTCTCTACTATTGCCAAATTGTTTGATCCTATTGGGTGGTTAGGCCCTGTTTTAATTGTAGCTAAAATTATAATGCAACGTATTTGGTTAGATCACATCGATTGGGATGATTCTCTTCCGTCTACGACGGAGGTTGCTTGGCAGAAATTCGTTGAGACGTACCAGGACGTCAATTTTATTCAAATTCCTCGATGGGTTAATTATGTTCCTGATTGCTCCGCAGAACTTCATATATTTTCTGATGCCTCAGAGAAGGCATATGCGGGGGTGGTATACATTCGTATTATCGCCTCCAATGGTGACATTTCTACTCATTTATTGTCATGTAAAACTAAAGTAGCCCCTATTAAATCTATTTCTCTTCCACGCCTAGAGTTGTGTGGTGCGGTCTTGGCCTCTGAACTCTTCAAAGCCATTACCGCTGAGATTGATATACAATTCACAAAAACATATTTTTGGACCGATTCTACGATCGTTCTATCTTGGTTGAAGAAAATTCCTTCTACATGGTCAACTTTTGTTGCGAATAGGGTCTCTAGAATACAGGACAACGTTGGTAAAAATGTTTGGCATCATGTATCTTCCGAAGATAATCCTGCTGATTTGGGAAGTCGCGGACTTACGCCCGCTGAATTGGCTTCTTCTCAAATTTGGTGGCACGGACCACATTGGCTCCGTTTAAAAAGTTCTGAATGGAAGTTGCGCGACTTGTCTGCTCTTGATACGGATGTAGAAATTCGTGCAATTAGAAGTCACTTTTCATACTTTGAAAATTTCGTTGATATTTTAGATAATTTTTCGTCGTTAGATAAGGCTTTACGAGTCGTATCGTTCATTTTTAGATTTTTTCACAAAATACACCCTTGTACTACTCAAAAAATGTAAAAATAAGGCTAATTGTTTTGGCTCAAAAAGCGTATTATGCCGATGAATATAGTTGTTTATCTAACAATAGGCCCTTAAATTCAAAAAGTTCGATTTTGTCCTTAAATCCCTTTCTAGATGATGTAGGTGTTATGCGACTAAATGGACGTTTAGTTCGGTCACCTACTCTTTCCTACTCAGAACGACATCCCATTTTGCTTCCCTACCATTGCAAATTTGCTCGTTTGCTTGTTGAAAAAATTCATTTAATTTCCATTCATGGTGGAAATCAACTAATGTTGCGTCTGGTGCGCAGTGAATACTGGATTCCCAGATTAACTTCACTCATTCGCAAAGTTATTGGTAATTGTAAACCTTGCATTTTAGAAAAGAAAAAGTCTTGTACACAGATTATGGCTGCTCTTCCTCTGGAACGAACAACCATAACGCGACCAT